GAGTACCAGGCTGCTCCCCTGCTGTCCTGAGTACCAGGCTGCTCCCCTGCTGTCCTGAGTACCAGGCTGCTCCCCTGCTGTCCTGAGTACCAGGCTGCTCCCCTGCTGTCCTGAGTACCAGGCTGCTCCCCTGCTGTCCTGGTCCTCACTCGCTATTGTCCCGGTTCCATGTTAAACAATAGCAGCAGTAGCAGTAGTAGTAGTAGTAGTAGTAGTAGTAGTAGTAGTAGTAGTAGTCGTAGTAGTAGTAGTAGCAGTAGTAGCAGCAGCAATAGCAGCAGTAGCAGTAGTAGTAGTAGTAGTAGTAGTAGTAGTAGCAGTAGTAGTAGTAGTAGTAGTAGTAGTAGCAGTAGTAGTAGTAGTAGCAGTAGCAGTAGCAGTAGCAGTAGCAGCAGCAGCAGCAGCAGCAGTAGTAGTAGTAGTACACTAGTAAGTGCCTGCTGCTACTACTGCTACTACTACTACTACGTCGACCAAGGTGGTCATGATGCTTCCTTGAGTCGGGGTAATTACTAGTGTGACCAACAATAATTATGAACAGTTGTCGTTTTTCATTGCGATGAGAACGTTTAAGAATGTGTAAGGCCAAAACATGCTACCGAAATTCTCTGTAGGGTATAGAGCTGATAAGACGGCTGTTAACAATAAATAAACAGCTATGTGTGATCTATTGTTTGCAGCCTGCCATATATCCTGCAAAGAAAGTTGCTGGGACGAAACACCAAAAGGCTGTAACGAATGCAAAACAGGCTGGACATTTTCAGAGGAAGAAGGGTGTGAGGGTGAGTGATTGGGGGGCACAGTATTTTACCTCATATTTGTTGTGAAAGTGATGCTACATATGAAAATTAGGTATAGTTATATCAAGCGGAGTATCGGTAGCTATTTCACCATATTGATATAGCAATATACACACTTCTGCAACTATTGTCTTGTATTTTAGACGTGGATGAATGTAAGGGATCGTCAGGATGCTCCGCGAAGCAATACTGTGACAACACACCCGGATCCTATAAGTGCTTAGGTTAGTATCTACTTCGCCTTTCCTCAAGTTCACACTAGTAGGCATTTTCTCATCCATCTGCAAGATTAATTATTATAGGAAGCTTTAATGGAAATCTGGACATGAAAGTCCCAAGAGGCTATCATGTTATCGTGTTGCACGAACAATCACTTTGGGAAGTTTGACCGAGTGAAGGTTTGATGACACAATACCTTAATTTAAACCCAGTTTACTCTTTCAGCCTGCCACAGTGCATGTGAGAAGTGCTTTGCAGGAGGCCACACAGGATGTATTTCCTGCAAATCAGGGTTTGAGATGCACGAGGGCAGGTGTGAAGGTAAATGTTGTTACAACTGCATACATCGTCATGTATAGTAAAAATGTCTGCATAAGTATGTCTTTTTTTAGAGTAATTATTCACACTTCTTCTAATGTAAGATGATTTTCTGTTCATGTGCTTTTCATGATCCACATCACATAGATCTTGTCACCTCTCTTGCTTCCATGTTTATCTGAAGTTGTCTACGGCAGTCATCTATCTCTGTCAGTTATCTATCAGTTGTCAGTTATCTCTGAGTAAGTGTCTATATCACCTCTAATGGAAGTCGCATCACATTTCTTGTCATCCCGTAGATGTGGACGAGTGTAAAGCAGACGTAGGAGTATGTGAGCTTGCGCACGAGGAATGCTTCAACACGGTTGGACACTACAGCTGTAAGTGCCAGGCTGGCTTCACTCGGAAAGGACGCGAGTGCATGCCCCGAAAATCAGGTTCGTACTCACTATCGTAGAACATCTCTTACTCAGGATCGTAGAGCCAGCTCATTTGGCTTGGGGTGGGGGGGGGGCAAACCCACGAGCCGGTTGTGTTCTGAGCAGGTGACTGCCATTGACAGTGTCATGTAACTACATTTCTCTGGGGTAACTGCCCCCACTAGCTACGACCCTGCTGTTATTACTATATTATGCACTGCGCATACATTCATGTATATGCATGTACATATACACGTGTACATTCATATATATGTTTCCTATGTGTGTCTTATTTTATTAATTGAATAAATTATTATGCAAGTGTGCCTCGTAAATCGGATTCATTTCCGTTTGTACAGCTTCTCCCATTGCAATAGCTCACTGCACTGTCTATCTACACAATATATTTCACGATAAATTGTGTATCGATCATTTCATTTATTAAATATATTAATCTGACATTAGTTCGTTTTGTACGTGGATGAAATGTCGAAAGCGTTCATGTGAATTTCTCTAACTTTTCTCGAACGCTTTTCAACTCTTGCAGTCGTAGAAAATAAAGACGAGCAGCAGGAAGTCTTGCAAACATCAGGTAAACGTATGCTGTTTATAGGTTACTTAGGCCTAGTCGTCGCAGGGGTTATCGTCTACCGTACAGACAACAAACTTCTCGGATCGTTCGCAATCATATTTGCAATAATCGCAGCTGCCGCGAGTATTTTCACACAAGAATTGTACAGATGACCGTGATCACATGCTATCACTAGCACCAGCATACACGTGTGGTAGTATCCAAAACAAATGATAGGTGCTATTACTCTATTACCTAGTATCAAGAGTAGATAATAACACTTATTTTTATTTAATCTTTATTGGTGGCAAATTTTGACGAGAAAAATCGGTTAAAAATGCGGGAATCGGTTGTCTCACTCTTGTGTTATTATCTACTCTTGCTAGTATCAAATGCCCTTCAGAGGTACTGTACCCCTACCAGATGTAACCCTGGATGTATCAACCTGTAAGCCCTGAGTGTATAATTTATGATAGATATGTTCTCAATTTTACCACTAAACTTCAGGCTTTCTAATGTTGATTTGAATTAAATCCCATTACCAAAGTAGCAAGCATTGGAAGGCACCTCAGATAGTCTAAAATCAAAATTGTTCGGGGGAGGCACCCCCACCAGACCCACCCACTCATACTGACCCTCTGTGAGCAGCTAAGTTAGTTTCAAGCCCTCGTAGTATACATGATTATATATCAGAAGTAGATATAGGGAATCGCCTATTATCTACTTCTGATATATATGTATGTTGCTCTGGCTTAGGTTCATGTGCCTACACAATCACATACAGGTACATACTGTCAGTGCTATATACCTAGGAAATACACAGACACACTGTTAGTGTTACATGATGCAAATGTATACAATTACAGACAGGTGCCTGTATGGGTGTGTGTCATTTTGAGTACATGGCAAATAGATCATCAAGATATGAATGCATGTGTGACGTGTACTCCAAAGGATGAATTCTAGTGAGGGAGTTAATTTATAACTAGTCTAGATGCTACATGTCATTGTTATTATGATCTTTTCATAAGTATGTCATTATCATGACGTCATTTTATTGTTAAGTGATTGCTGCACATAGTATTTGGCCACTCTAAGTTGGTGTATTAAAATTAATAGGACTAAATTGTCCATGCCATATGTTCACAAGCAATAGGGGTTACATGGTGTGATCTGATCCATCACCCTAACCCTAACAGGACTTGTTTTCATTATTACAATTACAAATCCGACAGTAATTATGTCGACTGTGTTCTAAATGTTTGCTGTAAATATATTTTACTGTGATGTGCTAATGGTGTGCATACGTAAAAATATGTGTAGTTTCCCAAAATCTCTCGGTTCTGACGTGGAGACAGACTTTGAAAGAAGTTATTTTCCTTGAATCCATATCAATACCCAGCTAGATAAAGCTTTGAAAAATCTTTTATACCTAGTCTTGGGTTAGTAGTATTGGCCTAGTAGTTAGGTTCTCCTCGACCTAAAATGCTACAAGAAATATAAAAATTTGTTTTGTAATCCAAGTTTCAACTAAATGTTCACATAAACTATATAATGGAAATGATGCGGAGGATGCTTGTTTTTTCCACGAAAGTGTGTTTGTCTTCTTAATAAAAGACAGCTATTCACAGGTACACAAGTTTTTTTGGGGTTTTAACCGACTTATTTAGCTTGATTTTGTTTCTTACAGAGTAAACAATACACGAAATAACATGGTAGTTTTAGTAACAAAGAAACTGCTACATTTTCTTTTTCAGAAAAGCCTGTCCATAACAAAAACAAGCGTAGGCATAGCGTCAAAAGTGGGGTCGATGATGATGATGATGATGATGACGATGACGATGACGATGACGAATCTGATGATGATGAAAATGATGATGACAACGAATCTGTGAAGATGGAGAAACAATGGAAACGTGCAGAATTGTGATATCATTACTAATGCTGCCAGGGTCTATGTCTCCCTGGGTACTGCCGGAACGTACCCTGGTACTATCTAATATGCCGGACCGTACCTCGCCTACTCCACTAACGAGTCTAGGGAGTCGCCTATGCCTACTCCCTAACCTAACTATTAGATAGTCCCAGGGTACGTTCCGGCAGTACCCAGGGAGACATAGACCCTATCAGCATTACTAATAGCAAATTGCAGCAAATCAGTTATTGTTACCATGGCAATTGGCAATACACCCTCATTTCCAATGCGTGCTCATATTGCAACTGTGCCTTATCTGTTGTTGTTGTTGTTGTTATTGTGTATCATTATTTATAACTGATCACAGAGCTATTGTTTATTTTGTATTGGTTTTTGGTTGGATGGGATAGAAGTTTACAAAGATGTGTGTAAGGTAATCTATGATTTATATCTAGTGGATCATTTGGTCACTTGGAATCTGAACTCTGTGTTGTGAAAAATAAGGTGGTTGATCAGCTGCAGATGTATTTACATCTATAAATTTGAAATAACTAGATACATGGTATTAAATATCAAACGTATGAAAGCAGTTATTTCTCTGAATAGCGTTGTTAAACAGAGCAATTTGTAATTTTGTTCATTTTCACCATCAAGTTGCAGGGCATCATTTTTGCATTGTACATTAGCTGATAAGTTTACCTTCCAACAGTCAGTTACAAACTGGGAATAATGGCTTCCATGTGCAACTGCTTCTGGTTAGGCGTCCTTCGTTTGTGCATTATCGGTACCAGTCGCATAAAAGCTTAGCAACATCGTTATAAAGGTGGATACTCCATCCCCTGATAGCCTCACCAGCTGGTTTAGTCGGACCAGAACTACACCCACATACAACCACTATGTTAGCACGAAAAGGGATACATTGCTTGCATGTCACTGTCATGTGTGTTTCCAGTATCTTAAGACATAAACATACGCAAGCAATACATCGTACATCGTGCATATATTTCGTACATTCTCTCATGTAAAACATACATATGGCACAGTGTGATAGCAATTACAACAATTCTGAAACAATTATAAAGAGGGGATAATATGCTCCTACCTCGTCACATCTCCATTATTTCAACTTAGAAACAAGTAAATTATGCATATTTACAAGGTGATAAAACCCAATAAATGATGGTGGGTGATGTATGAACTGTACAGGTCACATTGATGTTCTCTCAACACAATTGCTATACACATACCAATGGTCAGAAATGCTAACTGCATTTATTTAAAATTCATGTCTATTACTACTTAATTTGCTTTAGCAACAAACTGACCATAGCAGTCCACGATGAGCAGTGACCTACTGGTTTTTAAAATAAAAGTATGACCTCTTACCCAATTTTGCTGATTATACCTACAGAGATCAGTACAAAAATTATACGGGACTTCTCGTGCATTAGCCTAGTTTTTAGAGAAACATGCCAGCTACAAGGATGGAATCAGTGAGCAACAGAGCTGAGGGGTTCAGCCTTGATCGTCGACAAGTCCAACTGTTTGTCTGCATCTTCATCAATCTCTCCAACTACAGCCCTGCTCCGAGGAAGGAAAAGAAAGATCCAAATTGAACACAAGTGAAGACAACCAACAGAATCCACTGTTGATGTTTAAGAAACACAAGTTCACTATAAACATGTGTAACCAGTAACGTCTAGCGTATATTGGTCGCTACACGTGATAAAGACTTATTTCGGTAGCTCGAACGATGGAAATGATGCTCCGCGGACATGTAGTAGGTTATACGTACACGTTGTCTCCTCGTACGATGTAAAGGCCCAGTACAATCTGTTCGACGCCTGTCACAGTACTGTAGACACGCTCATGACTCTCATCCAAGATCAGATTCACTGTCTGGTCGAATCCTTTCAGCATTCCCTATAAAATAAATGCTAATCAGTGGTACCACAAGCTATGACCTAAACAGGGGTAGAAATTAACTTTTGAACAAGGAAGTCCAACAGACTCCCTGCCCTCAAAAAGAGGAAGTCCGTAGCAAAGTGAGGGAGTCCGCAGTCTGAAGTTCAAAACTAAAGATATTAAAGGAGAATTGAAGTCAAATTTTATAACTTCTGTAACGTTTTTATACATAGAAATACATTCAATAACGTATTCCATTTCAAATCCGGCGCCCAATTTGTAAGAAATACATGAATATTAATCTAGGTCATGTGACGTCACAGCCCCATGTTGATGAAACACGCCATTATATAGC